GTGGCCTGGTTATCCGCACCGATGGCAGTTACCCCTGAATTGGCCTCCTGCTCGTCTATTCCCTCGCCAAGATTGCCAGGGTGGTGTGTTGGTGGTTTGGCGGGGCTCCTCCTCCTGGTCGCTCCTTTCGTAGTCCGTTTGGCGCACTTGATGACTTATGCCAGGGCTGCATGCACCTGGGCTGAGCACATGCTCCACTCTTTCGGCCTCAGTTAGAGCTGCCGCCAGGGTTTCTTGTGCATGCAGACGGATGTGCTCTTGTAGTTGTTTTGACTGGAGACCCCAGACAAACGCCTGGAGAGCAAGCTCTTCTTGTGCTGCAGCATCAAAAGCAGGGTACCTTCTACGTGCATAAAGATGTAGGTCGGCAGCATAGGCACCCAGACTCTCCTCTTGTCTCCGTGGGCGGCTAGCAAGTTTATCTCGGGCATCATCTGCATGTGTACGGAGGCCAAACCTGCTCTGCATTGCTCTGACAACAGCAGGCCAACTTAAACACTCTTCTGGCTGAAGATCTGTGAGGATCTGCAGGGCCCTGCCTGCCAAGGTGAGGGCGACTTGGACAGCTGTCTCCTCTGTTGACCGTCCGTTTAGCTGAGCTGCCAGCTGTACCTGGATAAGGTAGGTCTCTGGAGGTGCCTCCCCATTATAGCGTGGCAGCTTCATGCTCCCCCGGACAGGAGCCCCTGATGGCAGCGGCGGCTGCACTTGGTCCTGGAGACAGTTGGCCTTGTCCCGCTCAGCTGCCAGCAATGAGGGTGTGCTGCTCCCAGGCATCACCATGAGTGGAGGCTGGCTGGCTGCTCGTTCTCTTGGAGACTGCAGCATGCCTTGGCGGCTCTGACAGCTTCCCAGTGGGCGGGGGTGTGAGGCTCCATCTGGTGAGCCCCACAGATCTTTCCCTAGCTGGCTTGCTGCTGCCCGGGGCTCTTCCCGCTTCTTCGATCATGCTCCATTCACCGCTTCCAGGCGAGTGATAAGCTCCTCAATCTTTCTTAGCTCATTTTCCTCTTTCAGAATAGTGGCCATGCTCTTGGAATCCCACTTCTGACACCAATGTGGCATGCAGAGGAATCTTTACAAAGAAGCTCACAGAGAGCGACTGAGCTTGTTGTATAGGATAAAGGTCTAATCATCTCTTAGTTTACTCAGATTGCACAGAGTGTATATTTGTTAATAATTTGAATCATTTTGGATAAGGATAAGTGTAAGATAATGGGGAATTTCAGTTTTTACTTTATAATTTGTTTAGCGTAAGATTTACAGTTAAATTGTATTTTTTCTTGCCTTATTTAATTTTTACGTACTGTTCCTTTAACACACGGTAACTGTGCACGGGGGGAGCGTTCGTGACGGGCAGTGTGCAGCAACGGGGGCTTTAACTAGCTTTGGAGAAAAACAGTTTCTTACCGTGTTTGCAGTGTACAGGAACATTCAAATGGATCACTGTATTTCAAAACTGTGGAAATAAATGTTTGCCTGTTTGTTTTTCGACTACAAGCGGGCTTTGTGGATTATGTTCAACTGCACTAAGACACGCGTACAGCTAGACTACCAGCTAGTGCTTCCACGGTAATACTTGTTATTCAACCCCAAGCTAGTAGGGGGAGCTCTAAAAACTTGCTGGTGCTACAATGTGCCTCAATGTTCAACAACAGCACAACAGAAGTCACTCATGGTACAGCACTCTCTCTACAAAACAACAACTGTCAGTGATTCTGCACCACAGTGTAAACACAACATTCAAGATAACAGTTAAAAGTAACGTCACCATAAACAATAAAACAAGAACATCTAAACAGCAGCACATGTCCCAAGGCATGATGAGAGAGAACTAGCTGTTCCCCCAACACGCCACAGAAGAAATAAGTGATGAGAATGCTGTTATTTGCATTTACCAGCTCACCTATGTCAGACCTTTTGATAAACAAAATTCTAATGAAAGTGAGAACATGTACACTGTTACATCTTTCAGAAAATGTTTTGAAATTGTGGTGCACAGTTCAGAATAAATGTTTTTCAAAAACCATTGCGTCTTTTTAGTAAATGTTTATTTCCAAAAGAAATGTCTAGAAGTTCAGAACAGTAAAATTCCTGCTTTTTAGAATGAATTAGAAGATAACTCTTACGTAGTTAAACTAAAATACTCTTTGAGAGTTAATATATAAACTCTTAACACCAAGTGTTAAATTATCAACTCCAGACAGATTTGGTGTTTAACACTAAATCAGAGTTAACGTACCAACTCTCCAAAAAGAGTTAAATTAACACTCTCTGGTGTGGACCCATATAGACACTTTAATAGTGTTGAAATCAAATCTGACAGTGTTAATTTGGACATGCTGGATTTGCTGTGTAGGGCAGCACGGTGGCACGGTGGTTAGCACTGTTGCCGCACAGCAAGAAGGTCCTGAGTTCAATTCCACCATCAGGCCGGGGTCTTTCTGTGTGGAGTTTGCATGTTCTCCCCGTGTTTGCGTGGGTTCCCTCCGGGTACTCCGGCTTCCCCCCACCGTCCAAAGACATGCAGCTTGTGGGGATAGGTTAATTGGATAATACAAATTACCACTAGGTGTGAATGTGCGAGTGAATGTGAGTGTGAATGGTTGTCTGTCCCTATGTGTTAGCCCTGTGACAGACTGGCGACCTGTCCAGGGTGTACCCCGCCTCTCGCCCTATGACAGCTGGGATTGGCACCAGCACCCCCCGCGCCCCTGAAAAGGATAAGCGGTAGCGAATGGATGGATGGATGGATTTGCTGTGTCGGGCTGCACCTAAGCAAGAAAAATAAATAATGCAAAGCTCCTAAACAGAGCCCAGCAGTTATAATACAGAAATGGTAGCAAACAGAATGGTTTCTCTTTAAAATGAGTAAGCATGCCAGCAATCTAAACTTCTGAAAGAAAATAAGAAACTCTTGCATAGTGCTTTATAAGACGGCTTCAGAGGTTTTGCATTGGAGTAAAATTATAACAAACTCTATGCTATCAGAAACTATGGATGTTTAAAAAAAACTAACTCACATGCAGAGCTATATGTTTTTCTTCTAAACAAATAGAAAGAAGGTTAAATAAAGTCCTGTTTGATTTTCTTAAAGACGTTGGTTTAAAGGGCTTTGGACTAGGATTAGGATCATTGCTGATGATAAATTAGATCTCAGAAAGTTATTTTTCTTCTCTCCTGTGTCACTTTAAAAATATTTTTTTGTTCATTGAATTAATGTCAAGGTAAACTTATCCCCTGTGATCCCCACTCCTGCACCTCCCACCCCCTTGACACCACTGACTGTTTCTTTAGGCCAGCTCTCTGAATGCCTTCAGGGAGTGTTTTTGTCTCTTTTATTGCTGCTGGAGGTAATGATGAGAATGTCAGAAGTGAAGCTGAAGCGAAGTAGGTGGTTTGGGAACTAGACCCTTGAAATTACACCTGGAGTTGAAAGGAAGCTGCAGATGACCAGGCAGAGATGCTGACACAGAGTCAAGGAAACTGGGCTCTGATGTTGTTGTTGTGTCTCACTAAAAGGGCCAGACACTGGTGCCTCCACGTGGCTCACCCTGTCAGAAAGCCGTGCTTAGCCTTGGGGATTGATAATGATGGCTGCTGAGCTCCATTCTTATCTGCTCACAATTATTATTTAGCGGCTGACATTTAAGAGGAATGACGTAGATCATTATTTTTGCCAAACTCCAGCAGTGTCCTTGTTGTTGTCACACTCTTGTTTTGGTTTCTCTGACTTTTTGGTATCTTCTTCTTGTGCACTCTGCACAGCCTATGTGAATTTATCAGACAACTCCAAGGGCGATAGATGATGGAGGGATAACTGTAAATCCTTTCTTCAGACTTAGCTCATTTCTGAAAAAATTTGATCTGCTGCATTTGCAGCTTGGCTTAAGCCTGTCCCATCGATTGAAGCCCAAAGTCTTCTGTTTAGGCCAGACATCCAGGTCCCTGTGTTTAGATTGGATCAATGAGCAGAAAATTATTCAATCCAATGACTATTTGTGTAATTCCATTCTTTTTAAATGGGAATGCATACACATTAATGCATTAAAGAATTGTATCTTTTAAAATAGGTAGATGGTTCAATCTCTGGCTGCTCCAGTCTCCAGTTTGCATCCCTGAGAGTGTGAATGTGTGTGAATGCTGAACAGAAAACACTCAGGTATAGAAAAAAGTGCTCATATGAACGGGTGAATGACACATGCTTTGAGTGCTTAAGTGGAAAAGCGTCTCTTTCTCTCCCCTTTGGCTTTCTTTCCTCTTGTCTTTGTGCAGATAATCGTCACTCGTCTATCTAAAAATAGATGTAGTGACAGAGGTCTGTCAGCTAAACTTCATGGTAAATCTGTTTTTCTGAGCCAGATCACAATCAGGAAATTACGTGGGTTACAATTGCTCCAGGACAGTAACAGTGACAGACTAAACTATTTAAACAATACACTATCCCCACTCAAAACCATCTATTTAAATCTGCATATTCACTGTGAACCTATTGTTTGTTTATTCTATTTTGTGCTTTTGTTTTTATTGTTCTTCATTTTGTCATTGTTCTATTATGTGTTCTCTTCTATTGTAAAGTGTCCTTGGGTGTCTTGAAAGGCGTTTTCAAATAAAATGTATTATTATTATAAATATGTTACAGATTTTACAAATGTCTGAAATAGCTCTAATGTATACAAATATGATATATACAAATCACTCAATTATCATTATGGTAACGTATGATATAAATTATGATAGAGGGTAAATAGAAAACAATCTCCTGGATCTCTTTCAGTTCTTTTGTAAGGCACAAATGAAAAAGTTAAAAACTCTATTTAAACCACTGAAAGTTGAAGGCACACGTCAACCAGTCTGAAATATGTAAATTATTTACTTCTCATTTTCCTGGAACGGGGAACAAAGGTGTGTGCTGTCTGTGGTGTGGCTGAAGCTGGGTGGGGCCTCTGCATCGGCAGCTATTTAACAGACGCTGACTCTGAGGAGCATCATAGTCAGTTATGGGTCAACCTGGGATTCTGAGTTGGACATGGGCGTTGTGCGCCTTTGTCAGCTGGGCGCATGTGGGCCAAGCAGGACCTGGACCGTAAGTTTGCCTCTATGATCGATTCTTTTTTTATGTCCTGTGAAATTTGTAACTGGTGCACATGAATTCTGATTTGAGATTTTTTCTTTTTCCCATCCATAGAGGTAACTGCTGTATGTGTGTATCTCTGTGTCTGCAGGCAATATCTAGTGGCAGTTCCTGCAGTTCTTGAGTCTGGAGCTGAGACCAAATTCTGTGTCAGCGTTCTGGAGCTCACTGAGCCCGTGGTTGTGAATGTCACCCTGAAATCAACAGCGAAGAGCGCAACCCTAATGTCACTGCACACGTGCATTCAAGATGTTCATACCTGCATTGCTTTTTTGGTGAGCTTCCCAAAAGAAGCATTTTTATATATATATATATATAGCCTGTTTGTTTTTGAAAGAATTTTTCTCTCTTTTCATCATCCACATGACTTTAATAGAAAAGCTGGAGAGCGAAATGTGTGAGGTCCAAGTTAGTTTCGAAACATGTGCCCACTTAGCAACTGGCTAAAACATATAGCCAAACAAATATCCTGTGCTTCCAGGTTCCTGTTGTGACAAATGAAGAGGTGATGGATTTTCAGGTGAAGGTTGAAGGAAGCGGGTTTCAGTCAGAAGAAGTCAGAAAAGTCCTGATCAGAGCCTACAAACCGCAGACATTCATCCAAACAGATAAACCCATCTATCTCCCCGGACAACAAGGTAAAAATGAGCAATCATGCTATCTGTCCCAACAATGCAGCATAAGCATGATATGGAAGTATAAGTAATGTATCCCCAAACATCAACAGTTTTAAACTCAGAGAAGCCATTAGAAGTTATATAATATAATTAATAATGAATATAATGAGCTTTAGGGTTTGTGACACTGCTAGAGATCATTTTTCACGCAGTCTCTTTGGATGTGTCTTGAAGTGCGTTTCAGAGTTGTCACACTGGACTCCAAGCTGAGACCTGCTAGTACACTGGTGAGTGTTTAAACTTTGTTAGGTCCTATTTACGGACAGCTTATGCATTTGAATGAATGCAATGAAAATGAGTTACTTCCATGAATTTTGGATTACTTATCCAGTGAAGTCGTAAGAGGCGGTTTCTACCTCCCAGCTGTCATTATGTAGCTTACATAAATCTTCATCTGAATTCATCTAAAGCCGCTATCATTTTAAAGTGTGGAGCACTCACAAAAAAGCCTAATAACTGTAACACTGCAAGATGACATGAAACCATTGTGCTCTTTGAACCTTTTTCCCTTCCTTTGTTGCAGTATGACATCATCGAACTGGAGGTAAGAACACAGTAGTGCATTTAAAAATAAATAAACAATATGAACACACAAGTCATAGTACTATGTTTATTTTATTCATGTTTTTATTATTATTGTTGTTTTTAACAAATCATGGCATTCATTTAAAGAGTTTAATGTGTGAATACATATAATATATACGCAGTGTTGGGAAGGTTACTTTTAAAATGTATTCCATTACAGAATACAGATTACATGCCCTAAAATGTATTCTGTAACGTATTCCGTTACGTTACTC